TTTTTCGCTTTTTGTATCTAGAGCATGGTTTAGACGACTAATTTTTGATAAAAAACATTCCAAAGATTTACTAAATATCCTCACATTGTTGATCCAATACTTTTTTCCATATTAACTACACCTCCAAAGTCGAAATCTTACTTAGCAGGCCGAGAACCAGTGAAATGACCCTATCTCGCATGCCTTTAAATTTCAATCCAAATTTCCCAGCCTCGAAGTGCTGAATGCTGAATGTTTTGTTTAATTGAATCGGTTGCACGTTGAGGAAGAAAGGTAATGTTTTTATCCATTTCTACTCGGGCTACTTCTCCAAATTTTGAATTCACTATAGTCATACCCCGAATTGGATAGGGATGCTCTGGAGTCAAATCTTGTAGCTTTAAGTAGGACTTTTCCTCAAGACAGGCTGCTTGGTTAATTTGGGGTAAATCCATGATTCTATTATTAAACTAAAAATAGAACAACGTATTATTATCAGGGTCTTTAAGAATAATGAATAAATTACTTACATAGTTTTAACACTAAATACCTACACACAATCAATTATAAATGTGACAGCGCCCAATTTTGAATTAAGTTTTCGTTGAAAAATTCAATCTGGATGAGCACTGAAGAAAAACTTTGTGTCACCTAGGGACGTTAAAATCTAACTAAAATTTGAAAATGAATAACAACTACCAGGCCAGCCAGCTGCGTTTCGTTATCGTCGCAGGAAATGCGGCTTCCGTGTGATAAGCAGGATTAAGCAAGTTCACACACAACTTGCTCTTCTTGTTGCTGTTTATGAGAACGGTAGAAATTATAATTATTTTAAAAATAATATTTGGGACCCCCCAATTAAATCGTTACAAGTCCGTGAAAAATGGGGCCCAAATTGGAGCACTATTTTTTCAATGATGATGATGATGTTGTCTTTTATGTGACCATATTTTAGTTTAGAAAAATGGGGCCGACGACGACGACGAAAAAAGGGGGCCCAGTACGGTTTATCTTGTTACAAGTAACGGGGTACCAGGTACGAGGTACCAGGTACGAGATACGCGGTATCATATTTCAGGTTATGAGTTCTAGATACGTTGTACAAATTTCAAATTACCAGCACGAGATATGGGACATCAAATTTCAGGTTATGAGTTCTAGGCTACGGGCGCCTCAAAATTTGGGGGCCTGTATTGGTTTCATATACGATAATGGATAATGGGGCCGCGGGTCTAGCTGCGGAGACAAGTGGCCCCTTTCCGATTTTTCCCTAGATTTAGGGAAATTTTATTGGCAACGTCGCACATTATCAGTTTCGGCAACGTCGCACGTACCTGTCATCTCGTATGGGGTATCTCATTTCAGGTTATGAGTTCATGTAAATGGGGCCCCCGAAAAAAATGGGGCCACGGGTCTAGCAGCGGGGACAAGCACGTATGGCCCCTTTGATGACGTCACTTATTGGGTTAGGTCTATTCAAATTGGGGGCTTGCTACTTAGGTTAGGCCTCTTTAAATTGGGGCTTGCTAAAAAATGGGGCCCACGAAAAAATGGGGCCACGGGTCTAGCAACGGGGACAAGCATGTGGCCCCTTTGATGACGTCACTTGGGTTAGGCCCCTCCACTTGACGAAAAATGGGGCCCACGACAAAAATGGGGCCCTGGAATGGGGCACAGGCCCACCTGGTGGAGGCCCCTTCCGCCCCTTCAATTTGGGACTTCTCTGATGACGGGCACGGGCCCCACGACGAATGACAGGTCACTTCCGCTCCAGAACTCTCCTAGTATATCTACTGGTGTGCCTCAACATAATGAATGCAAATCTCCATGAGGCACCCCAAATGCATCATCAAGTTACCCATTACCAGACAACATTCGCGGTCATAGTATAGCACCATTGCCGACGTCATTAACTAGGTCGTCAGCTGTTTGGAATTTAACTTTATAATGAAAAATATTATTTAATTTCAATAATAGGCGAAGATAACGATGCAAACGAAATATAATGGCCGTTTCCACCAACTATTATAGGGAAGCCTTCACGATAAGTATTCCCTAAACTGGCATTTCTTCATGGAAAACTGTCAGTTTAGGGAATACTCATCGTTAAGGCTTCTCTAAAATAGTTGGTGGAAACGGCCATAAGAAACAGTTGTTTTAGATGTTCAATGTACTAAAATCAAGTATGCGATGCATTAAAGGAAAAGCCATCAGAATCATAACCTGTGGTCCAAATATCGCAAGGATAATACAGACTACTAAGGATTGCTTTGTTTTTGGTAATCGCCGCCATATTGGTGAGTCACCATTTCCGACGTCATAATTAAGTCGTCAGCTGTTTGCACTGAAAGAACGGCCGTAGAGCACTTTCCACCCGGGATCGCTTTCCACCCGGGCGGAAAGTAAAGTGAGGAAAAGTGTAAAAAAAGCCCGCTGAATTATAGCCTGTGGTGCAAAAAGCCTACATCAAGGCGAGAAAGGACGTGCTGCCGTTTGCACGCAAGGATGATACACACTACTACTACAGAACCTCATTCGGGTGCAGAGTGCCAAGCTCCTACAACACTTCACACCTGTTATACTCTATGCGTTTTCCACTCGAACACTTGGAACCGAACGGATCAAACTGCAGCCGGAGTACTTTGGAGTAGCTCGGGAGCGCTCAAAAGGGTGGCACCCAAATGATTTTTTCTCGCCTTAAGGCGGCGATTACCAAAAAGGAGGCCGATAATCAATCCTGTAGGTGTGTATTATCATTTTAAGGGAAGTTTAACGATAATCAACGCTTGAAACCCAAAACCGGATTCCGGAACGGAACCCTTTTTTTTTTTTGGACCGGATCCGGAACATATAGATATTATTATGTTGTAAGGCAGGCAGAACCGGAACTGATATAAATTAATCGGTTCATACACCACTACAGGATTGCTCATCGGCTTCGATTTTTGGAAACAAGTTCATATGGTGTTGCACCGTTAGCGACGTCATCAACGGTGCAGTCAGTGGTTTGCGCCAGCGGTCGTAGTTAAGAATGTACATCTATGATGAAAAACATTTAATTTTGAATTATAGGATTTTTACGCTATATTTAGGATGACGTCACATTCAGTAAGTTTCTGCTGCCAACCTAACAAAACTAGAAGTATTTTTTAACGCATTTAAAGCAGGGGAATTTCAGATGTTTTTGGTTGGCAATGGCACGCGACGTCGGCAACACGCTGCCTTCGTCATCACTGGTACTTTAAGGTGATTAACTGATCGAAAACACAAAAATTTACTATATAATCATAATAATAATTATTATTATTATTGAAGTTGTTGCAGGCAAATAGGCAGACAAATCCAATAAAAAATAAACCCCAAATTACAGAAAATATAAGTTTTTCTGGTAGATAATTTGAAAAACTATACCGGTATGAACCGTTAGAGCCGAATCAATTATTGGTCCGAACCGAATGGAAATATATTTCTTTTAGAATCGGAACTGTGACGAACCGATATTTGTCATGACGGTGTGGACCGGAACCGGAACGGAACCGATATTTCATTTCGTTCCGGGTTCCTGAATCGAACTGCGGATGGTGGGTTTATAAAAAAATTAACACTTGAACTAATTTAAAAAAATTAACGTACAACTAGGAATTTCAATGTGCGCTTATGTAGTTCTTAATTATTAGTTGTCAAGTCTTAAAAAAAAATTATGAACCGCTATATTACATATCATAATTTCAATTATTTAAGTTAAATGTTAATTCTGAGTTAAAACGTTAATTTTTTTTTATAAACCCATCATTATGACACGGCTTAACAGAAAAAGTCATCTTGGTTTAGCAATCCTATTGCCATGTCAACGCGACCACTCCCCACTATTTGGGACATCAGGCGCAGATCTCAATTCTTGGCGTAAAATGCATTAGGTCTGTTCGCACAGAAATCACAAACCAGTCAGAGCGAATTTGATTGGTTGAAAACAGTCAGAAACAATCAGAAAACTAGTTTCAACCAATGAAATTCACTTTGGCTAGTTTGCAATTTCTGTGCGAACACACCTATTATCCAAGCTTAAAGTTTTCTTAGGTCAAAAAATTGACGAAAATACGCGGGTGACGTCACCGCTATTAGCTTCTGATAGTGGTGACGTCACCCGCAGACCTGTTGCCGACTCGAGCAGCGGCGAACATACGTTCTATTAGGATGAGCAATCCTGGGGTGCGTTCAAGGACAGCAATGCTAATGCCAAAACCTACTTTTCCCCCTCCACCGGTAATGCCGAACCACGTAGGTTGGAGCCGAATTCGAACGCAAAATGCCAATTTTGGCTTGGCTGTAGCCATTCCTGAACGCAGCCCTGAGCCGCTTTCCAGTATGGGAGTTTGACGCCCGGAGCTACTCGGGGCGTTGAGCCCCCGAGCTGTACGTACGCGTCAACCTGTCAGCTGTCACATCCGTGGGTGGCTATTTATTTATTTATTTCTTGTTATATCTCAAGATTGAACATTTTTAAAAATATAGTTGATTCTCTTTCATTTATGATAAATAAAAAAACAAACTGCACAAACAAACAGATAATTATTTTTAAAATTTGACATATTTGACACTAAAACGGGCGTCTCACGTCATGATACTGGAACGGTACAAATCTAGTGCGTGGCGCCCCTGAGGTGCTCTGGAGCGCGCCAGAGCGCGCCAATGTGCATACTGGAAAGCGGCTCTGTTTGTTGGAGTGTCAGAACTCGGTACTGTATTGGTAGTAGAATTTCGTGGCAGGGCACCGAGTTTTCAGATATCAAATTCGTGATTATTTAAATATAGAGGATCTCGATTGCGTTCGATAGGTGGTAAGGTGGTATAATCGGAGTTCTCAGTCTTGAAAAAAATAAATCCTGTGGTTCTCCGCATTCGTAACTATTCTGACATAGGTGCTTGCACCGTTTACTCTGGTGCAGAACCAAACGCATTGCTAGGGTAAAACGATGTGACAGTGACATAAGTGAAAAGTCATGATGTCATGTCAATTGTACTTTTTTTTGGGAAAGAAAAAAGTTAAAATAAGAAAATAATGAAAAATGTTATCACTAAAGAATAGTGACTTTAAATTCATACTTTTTCTTGTGAAATCCAAATAACATTATCTAGTGCAATCATGTGGCACGAAGCAAGACGCCAAGAACGAAAAATCCGCGGAATGTTGGTGGATTATCGGAAAAGGGCTGAAAGGCGGCGAGATTTTTACGAAAGAATTGTAAAAACACCCACTTTTCTACTTATTTCACTATACAATTTATATCCTTTGTTTCTTTAGAAAGCTGACCCAACGCAGTTTTTACAAATCCATGGAAGACAATGCAAAATTCACTTAGATCCAGTTATTGCTGCTGCAGCCGATAGTGCTGTAATGTGAGCGTTTTAATTCAAAATCTTAGCTAATTAACTAAAACATATATTAATCTAACTAATTTCTTATTTCAGGATGCCTTGGCAAGGAAACGAAAACAACCTAATAGACCGTTTTGATGTGAGAGCTCATTTAGATTATATTCCTCCAGTAAAAAAGGATGAAGACTCTGAAACCACTCAAGAAGAAAGATACTTAAATTATGAAAGATACAGAATCATTGCTCAAAATGCCTATTTAAGTATTTCAGAAGAAAAATTTCTAAAGCAATTACATTTGGAAGAACAATTTGGATACACTGAGACTAAAACTAAAAAAGAATCCAAAGGAACTGGAGCTGCTATTGGATTCAATTATGAAGATGGCACTGCCATTGGTGCTCCACTACCAGCGCCAGATTCTCCAGAGGATAACTATGAAGATGGCAATTCAGACAGTGATTTAGATGTAGACTTGGCTATAAATGTATCCAAAATTGACCCGACTCAAGCTCATGAAATGAATAAACATGGTCAACATTTTGGAATGGCTGGAAATGATTTTTATTCCTTTTTAACAAACGATTTAGAGGAAGCTGAAAGTTTTAAACTTGCTAAGGAGGAAGAGCACGAGAAAGCTTTGTATTCTGGAAGAAAATCTAGGAGAGAACGACGGTAAGTTAATTATTGGGTTTTTGTTAATTAGATAATTTGAAAAGTTCACTATCTAGAGCTCACAGAGAGAAAAGGTTAGCCAACCGCAAAATCAGCCCACCAAGTTATGCAGCTAAGGAATCTCCAAGTAATCCATCTCTTAGGGATGAAAGCAAATCACCTTCTAGGTCACCATCACCTTCTCCTGATGCTGGAAAAATCACCTATATTACATCATTTGGAGGTAACTAATTGAGGACATGAGTGGATAATAGGGTTTATGGTTCATTTCATTTTCTTGTATTATCAGAAACAAAATCTAGTTCAGGTTGTTTTGAATGAACCTTTATTATCAAGTTTATTATAGCTCTATTCCAACCAGTGGCGGCTCGTGGAGGAACTATTTGGGTAGGCGGAGGGGCCCAAACATGTACAAACAAATTTTTTTTCGGGTGCCACACCCAAAAACGTTTACTTCAAGAGCCTTTGCGTCAAGCCTTAAAAGCTTGTGAAATTTCACATGACACGGCAATTATTAAATGTCATAGATTTTATTGGACAGGTAGTCCAACAGTGTTAGAAATTTTGATTACCTACCTATTTGCGATATCATTATTAAGAATTTTTAGCTTGGCGTTTATCAGAATAAAATAAGACTGTTGAAGAACTAAGACAATATATTTAGAAATCGCGAAAACCTTTGTCCTCCCTTTTTGTCAATTTTTAAAATATTTATTTTATTTTATTTTATTTCTCAACGGGTAGCCCATTTTACAACTAAATTTCAATATAATACATTAAATTTAACATAACTAAACTTAAACCTAACTAAATCTAAATCCAAAATAAATCTAAGTCAATAAACAGAATGACAAATCAATAAACAGATGCGATGCAGTAGACTGTCATCTCAAATCTCAAGCAATGTTCCCAGAAAGCACAGTCCTCAGGCCGCCAAGCGTAATGCTGAAGAAATCTATGTTCGATTCATTGCCCTCTCTAACAAATCTAGATATTGGAGAATTGACTCCATAATTATACTTATGGAAGGATAGAATCGGCTTAGGTCATCCAATAACTACAATTTCACGTCGATCGTCGTCTTTGAGCTGAGAAAACGGCATTTCCAGCTAAGAACATATTATGTCATGTTTAGGACCCAAATTGTTTTCCATTATCACTATAATTCACTCGAAACACTGGAGTACTAAAAACAAATCAGGCCTAATTAGCGGGCTTGCTAAATATCAATATCAGTCATCAGAAATTTCAGGAAAGCAAAATGATTCGCTATCTGGAGAACTGACTGGAACAGAGATTATAGTCTTGAAGGTACAGGTTGTCTGGGTGTAATTTGACTCCCCACCTGCAGCCTTTACCTTCACTTCTTGATGATGCATGTAAATACAAAAGTTGTCCAGTTTTGAATAAATTTTTAGAATCCATCGTCAGAAACAAAAATGTATTTTCAGAAATTTGGAATTTTGCGTACTTACTTTTAACTTTTTCTTGAATGGAATGCCCTTTATTTGGTTATTTGAAGAACATAATTTGCTGATTCCAAAAACAAAGCCTTAATATATATGGCATTACTGGTTTTGTAAATTAATTTGAAGGCCTGTTATAACGGAAATATCCTTAACATACATACAGACTGGACCAACCTATCATACACATAGGGAGTAATAAAACAAATAAGTTTGTACTCGAGTTTGTAGTACCCAGTATCACTGAATTGAGGCAGTGCTGCCAAAGGCGATTATAGCGGAGCTGCTGAAGCCGAGCTGCCAAAGGTACACAAATTTTATTAACATGCAGTGACAGGGGTAATTTAAATTTACTATTAACACCCTCATAATTCCCTTGATACATAAATAACTATTATTCATTACAAACTCTACAGATTTACATCCAGTTACAGAGTAGGGTAGAAAACTAACCTGAGTGAAAGCAAAAATATAAAGAGGTACTTACTTCCTAAAAGAAACACTTGAACAGCTAAAAAACGAACAGAAGAGGGCGAATTGAATCTTAAAATAAAGTATGTCAACTCCATCCCTAGAATTGTTGTTAATAACACAAACGCGACAAAAAACTAAAAAATAACATAATTGAAGTCTGCCTATGGTACACAAATATACAGTCATTTACAAACAAAATCGATGAATGGATGGCATCAATACAAAAACACCAACCAACTTTTATGTGTATAACAGAAACTTGGCTTAACAGCCAAATCAATGACAGCATATTTAGCGTTACAGGCTATAGCTTATTTAGGTGAGACAGAGGACAGGCTGGAGGGGGGATATGTATATATATTAAGGAAGAAGTTTGTGGCCACAGAATTCATGCATGCATATCCAAAAAATTTAAAACTTCACCCCCAGTTGAATCTCTTTGGGTTGAACTAAAAATTGACAACCTAAAGCTGTTACTTTGCTGTGTATACAGAACTGATTATTCAACTGAACAAACTGACACTGAAATGATAACAGTTTTAACAGAAGCCTGTTCCCTGGAAATACCTGTGTACATAGTCGGCGACTTTAATTATCCACAAATAGACTAAAAAAAACTTAATCTAACAAAATCAGACAAACTGAATAAACTCTTCCTTAATAACTATCATCAAATGAATGCTTACCAACTAGTCAACTTCCCAACAAGATTTCGAAATGATGAGAGTTCCTTGCTAGATCTCATCCTAGTAAACGACAAAAAAACTACTCTTTGACATTGAACAGCATCCACCATTGGGCCGTAGCGATCATATAGTCATTACTGCAAAATCTCAATTGAAGTGCAAAGAAAGAATAACGAAGAAAATCACAAAAAGAAACTTCTGGAAGGCGGACTATGATCAAATTAACCTTTTTCTATGCCAGCAGAACTTCAACTCTAACCAGCATTCAGTAAATAAGTATGACAAATGCATTGACATCATCGAAGATGCAATTTCAAAATTTATTCCTCTAACCACATCCAAAGTAAATCTAAAGAAACCATGGTTGAACGATCACCTATTTAAGGAGATAGACAAAAAGAGAAATCTATGGGATAGCTATTCAAAATCACCCTCAGAGAAAAAATATAGGATCTACAGGACCCACAATAATCAACTTAAGAACAAAATAAGAATCTCTAGGAGGGAATTTGAGAAAAAACTTGCCTCCTTCCCTAACAATAAGCAGTTTTTTAAATATGTCAAACGCAATCTCAATTCAAATGTTTCCAAAATTAACTTAAAAAACTCGGATATCTTAATAACTGATGACTCTGAAATAGCTCAAAATTTTGCAGAACAATTCACAAAAATTTACTCTCAGCACGAAGATGATGAGCTTCCCTCGCTTTCAGACAGTATAAAAAATCGTAACAGATTAAGAACAATTCTCTTTATTGAAGAAAATGTTTCTGTAGCCATAAGAAGCCTAAAAACTGACACCAGCCCTGGTCCCGATGGCATACCTGTAATATTTCTTCAAAAATGTATTAACTATATCAGTAAACCATTGGCAGAAGCAATGAATGAAATATTGATGAATGGAAGATTACCGCATATATGGACGCATGCAATCGTAACCCCATTATATAAAAAGGGCGATAAGCAGTTACCCTCGAACTACAGACCAATAAGCCTAACATCCAACATAAGTAAATGATGTAATGCTAACTAACTACGTTTCTTCTTGAAAACAACGCTATAACAGAACATCAGCATGGATTTTTACCAAAAAGATCAACCACGACTAACTTAACAACATGCATCAACTTGTGGACTCAAAGTTTTGACAGAAGTGAACAGGTTGATGTCATCTATTTGGATTTTGAAAAAGCGTTCGATAAAGTACCCTTTAAAAAAATGCTAGACAAAATGGATCATTATGGTATTGATGGCGAGCTCTTCCGATGCCTATCAATCTTCTTGACAAAAAGAACTTTTCAAGTCAGGATAAATGGCAAGCTATCAACCATACATACATGTCTCAGCGGTATTGCTCAAGGAACGCTGCTTGGTCCTATATTCTTTTTATTGTACATTAGCGATTTATCTATGCAAATACAAACTATTATTATATTTTTTGCTGATGACGCCAAATTATTCTCAAATTTGAACAACCATAGACAGCTCCAAGAAGACCTTGAAAAAATAGAAAAATGGACCAAGATGTGGGGCATGAAACTCAACGAGGAGAAATGTACAGTACTTAGTATAGGAACGAATAGAACCGTCCACAACTACCAACAAAACAACACATCTTTAACTCATGTCGACCAACAAAATGATCTTGGCATTATTATAACCTCCGATTTAAAATGGGAGTCGCATGTCAACAAAGTTGTAAAAAAGTCAAACGCTCTCATTTACTGCATTCAAAAAGCCTTCTCAGATAGATCCATAGAAACAATAATGCAATTGCATAAAACATATATTAGAGCAAAACTTGAGTATGGAGGGACGATATGGAATCCATATTTTGCAAAAGATATAGAGTTTTTAGAAAGAGTTCAGAGGCAAGTCACAAAAATCCCAGTAGAATTGGCAAACTTGGAATACCCTGAAAGACTGAGGAGACTAAATCTAACAACACTAAGGGAAAGACGTTTGAGAGGAGACCTTATAGAGACATATAAGATATTGCTGCCATATTACCAAACAAACCTTAATATATTTCATGCAAATACAAATACACAGCTAAGAGGTCATAGCAAGAAATTGGACAAGGAAAGAAATGTCAAACTTCCCAGAAAAAACTTTTTAAGTAATAGAATCGTTTATCATTGGAATGCGCTATCTGAGGATACTGTTTGTGCTCCAAGTATAAATTCTTTCAAAAATAGACTTGACACTCAACGTGACACACTAGAAAACATTGTTTGGCATTTCGGCCAGTAATAAGTTATTAGTGGAAATATAGAATGAAAACTATTGTGAAATGTAACCATAAAATAATCAACAGTTTCATCGGTCATAACCGCCTACTGTTGTATATCGTAATCGTAATCGTACTTAACATTAAAATCTACATTTATTCCAATATATCATTAAGTATTAATTTCAGCCTACCTACAGAGCTTGAATTCCACATATCAAATTAGTTCGAGTATTATCAGTATATAAGCTTAAAGGATTTCGTGTTCTATATGTCAGAGCAGTCAGAGCATGAAATTTATTTGGTTTAACAAATAAGGACCATTTATCATGGTATTTAATATTTTATACAGAAATATAATTGTATA